GTGCAGGGAGAGACAGAGAAGAAAACCGCTCCCAAATGAGTTTGTAACATTTTAACAAATAACAACAGGAAAGACATGCAACAGAAGCAACACTCGAGAGATACATGGACTTCAGATAAATGGAAACAATGGGACAGGCAGAAAATTCAATAGTACTACCCCATGGAAGGAATAAGCAGCTGGGAAATCCAAGGGGAAAAGACCACTAGAAGTCAAAAAAGAAAGGTAGAGATGAACAGATCCAGTTGAAAATAAGGGAACTAATATATGTTCATTTAAGTAATAAAATTCAGTAAGTGAGCTAAAGCCAACACTAAACACAGTAAAAGAGGCTTTGGGGAAATCCTACTAGGTGCCTTTGGAAGAAGGGCAGATTCTACTGGCGATAGCAGAGTGTATATAGCCAAATTAATTCTAGAAAAAGGGCTCCTTTTCACCCCCCTCAGAATAATTGCAGTTTATGGTTTAAAGCTCAATAGAGAAGAGAATGGAAAAAAGCCTTCAGATTTTGAGCAGTAAGGAAGCTCTGTGACTTAACTCTGGGTCTCTCATATAGCAGCACACAACTTCTCCTTTCTTTACTCGTACTATGTGCTGGGATATGGCAAATGCTTAACTCAGGTGTCACCACATCTCATCAGGAAAATAGTGAACTTTTCACCTAACAGGCGTGGAGATGCTGCCTAAAATCACATAGCTAGAATAAGGAGGTCCCAAAAAAATTCAGAACCAAAGTCTAAAGACCATGCTTTAGCTAGTATACCTCTTATCCAGGTGTTCTACTGTTACCCATGTAGCAAGGTGCCAGATTTCCCACTAAAAACTTAATACAGAGCCATTTTATTGCTATATCAACACAGTCTGTGACAATTTAGTAGAAGTATTATGAGCTCATCACCCACACTGAGCCCACAGATTAAAATTATAAGTCACAGTTTGCTGATGAATAGAGGGTAAGGCTTGATGAGGCTCACTACTAAGGAGCAGACCCAGGGTTTAGTCCTATACACTTACGCATGTATTCTCTTACCCAGCAGTGGCCCTGATGTAAAATAGAGGCAATAGAATCATTTCTTCTTGTAGATTTTTTTTCCAAATTATTGCCTTTTTTAAAAATTGAAAGTAATCACTAACCTTGGAACCACAGTAATCATAATCCACGCATTATGTGCAGTACTGTCACCCTTTCAAAATAATAAGGCAATTTAGTACTCAGAAAGACCAGGGACCTGGATAGTACGTTGAAGCATTCACTAATAAGCTATACAGCCACGATGAGTCACTCAACTTCTGTAAGCTTCCATTTCTCATTAGTAATCTGAGCTCTGACTTGTCTGGAAGCTCTCTTAAATTGGAGTCTTTGAACCTAATGGTTCATCCAATAGGACTGTTCTCAGTACACTTCCAGCAGACGTCATTTCAACCAGTTGATTCTTGTTTGCTTAAAATACACTCATACATCTGTTTATCTGTTTTATATTGACTATTTTTGCATACTTTTTAATTTAGAACACTATATTCGCCTTTGATGTTTGTTTCTAGTGAAGTCTAATAATAAGTTCTGGGTATTTTCTTTTATTAATTCATATTTATTTGTGAAGAATAACCTGTAATTTTATGCTACAATCTATAAAAACCCTTATCACAAGTACGTTAGGTGTAACTTTTATACTTCTCCAGAACTCAGCTATGTTCTTTTACATTACAAAATGGGACATATTTGAGACACTGACACTGAATAGGAAGGAAGTGCCAAAAGATCTGCAAAAGA